TCGTATGCACATATTACTGTTTTATTGATTATGGTTGAATGACTGAGAATCCGATGTTGTATGTTGTCTTGTTTGGCATAAATTACTGGTTTGCTTGTTTGTTTGCGAATTAATGATGCTGACTGAGGAAAAGGGGAATGAAAGGTTATGTGAATTGATAATTGTATAATGTGGTCAGCCTGACTAGATATCCTGGGAGATGGTGGACGGACCGGGTCCGTAGGGAACCCTACCGGGATTGTGGTCTCTCATACCGGACGGGGTATGGAGATCTTATATGTTTTGGCGCCCATACCGGACGGGGTATAGGGACGGCCCGTTTCACCCTCATACCGGACGGGGTATTGAGGTTTATAGTTTTGGCGCCCATACCGGACGGGGTATGGGGACAGCCCTGGAATCTGATTACAAGTGTTAAGGGTTCACAGGTAGCGGGACCCCTATGGATCCCCATGGATACTAGTAGGCTGGTAAATAAAAAAAAATATGTTGTGTAATGATTGAGATGCAAAAGGCGTGATAAGTATTATGTTATACAGTTTCTATGATTTCGTGATGATGATAATGTTATTGCTTTCGTATATTGTTTTATGAATTTTACCGAGATAAGTGGATAATAAAGGTTTTTATGTTAATAAACGAGTTTGTTGTAAACTATGCTTCATTGGTCCTTTTGTGTTTTCTACCCACATTTACCTTCGTGACGGTGAGATAGTGTGATGTCTTTACTGGGCTGGTGTAGCTCATTCCTTATTTAATCATTTCATATCAGGAAGACATTGTTCCCGAGCCCGTTCCGCAGGAAGACGGCGAAGGGGACGCCTGAAGACTCCGTAGTCATATTTATAGCTTTTATTTTCGAGTTTCCCTTCTAGTTAGTTTGTTCTTTTATACTTTGAGCCCGTTTTTGGTTTTAGTGTAAGGGATGTTAAATTAAAATTTTTATTACGCTTCCGCAGTTGACCTTTTTAATACACATATTTTATTTTAAATTTCCGGGGCTGTTACAAGAGTAATTATCAATCAATGTCATAAAGTACCTAACACCACTCTTGGAGGAAACTCTATATGGATCCCATAAGTCCAAATGAATATAATCCAACTTATCTCTGGTCTTGTGCACTGCTTTTTTGTTGAACTTCACTCTGGTTTGCTTGCTAAACACACCGTTTTCACAGAAACCCAAAGCTCATTTTCTATACCCATTCAACAAATTTTGCCTACTCAAAATAGATAACTCCTTGTCACTCATATAACCCAAACGTAGATGCCATAATTGATTTGGATTACTGCTCTCTGATGCTACAATAGCTTCTTCTGAAATTATATTTTCCTGAAGAACAAACAATCTAGATTCTAAACTTTTTTCATGAGTAACTTGGTGCCTTTATACGCTTTAAGAGTACTATTCTCTACATGATATTTGTAATCCTGAATCACTAATGTAGAAAGAGACATCAGATTCCTCTTCATATGAGGAATATGCCAACACTCAATAGTCTTGATAATAACATCAAACATTCTTAATATAATATTATCAATCTCAACTACAGATAACGAACTATCATCTTCCATATAAACGGTATCACCCATCTGCCTGTAAGTAGTAAACCAGTGCCTATGTGGACACATGTAGAATATAGCACCAGAATTAAGAATCTAGGAGTTCTTTCTATGATTCGAATTCACAGATAGAACTACCCCAACACTGTTGTTATCACTATCATCAGAATTATCATCTTCCATATAAACGGTATCACTCATCTGCCTGTAAGTAGTAAATCAGTGCCTATGTGGACACATGTAGAATATAGCACCAGAATCAAGAATCTAGAAGTTCTTTCTATGATTCGAATTCATAGATAGAACTACCCCAACACTGTTGTTATCACTATCATCAGAATTATCTCTGATGACTATATTAACATAACTCTCTTGCTCATTTCTTCTCTTTAGCATAAGACAATTTCTTCTAAAGTAACCCTTCTCCCCACACTTAAAATAATTTTCCTTTTTACCTCTAAATTTTGATTTGCCCTTTCTCTGTGTCATTCCCCTACTTATCAAACCTTCCCCTTTCTGTTCTATATTCAGTAAAGTTCTTTTGTAACTTTCAATTTTAGTGCATTATTAACATCATCTAGTGAAATACTAGTTTTTCTATACAATAGAGTATCAATAAAAGTCTCATAAGAAGATGGTAATGAACACATAATAATCAATGTCTGATCTTCATTTTCAATCTTAATATCTATGTTATTCAAGTTCATAATTAAAGAGTTAAACTCATCGAGGTATTGTTTAATGGGCGTATCTTCACTCATTCTAAAATTATACATCATTTTCTTTAGATAAAGGCAGTTCGTCAGTGATTTTACATAATAGAAATCTTTTAATTTCTTCTACGTAGCTAAAGTTAAAATTTCTTCAGCAATCTCTCATAGAACATTATCATTAACGCTCATAAAAATCGCACATAAGGGTATATCCTGCATACTTGCCTTTTTCGACTCTCTCATACCCTAAGAATATATTTCTTTAATTGCCCCACATAAACCTTGTAGTACTAGGAATGATCTCATTCTAATCTTCTATAAGCTAAAACTTGTACCACCATCAAATTTTTCTATCTTATACTTTGTGGATATCATCTTGAATCCCTAAACTTTGCACTAAAAAACTAAATAGAGAGAAAAAACATTGTCAGAAAGCAAAAAATACTCGCAGGGAGTCACCACTACACATAAAACCATCGAACGCAACCATAGAAACACAACACGTGCCTTCATGTGCCTCCACACTCCTCCACGTGCCGCCACGTGCTCCTCTACGCGCTGTCATATGCACGACTGCCGGAGATGTCACACGTGGCCATTGCCCGCCTTTTGCCGCTGCTAGGAAACACCAAAAAACACAAAAAAGTGCAGCTCGACGAATTCGGTACTGATCTGGTGAAAACATGTTGAAAAACTATTAGGAACGCCGCAAAACGGGCCTGGAGCGAACCAAGTGCCGCTGCGCTGGTTCTCCTTCTCCGGCAAGTGTTCTCCTTCTTCGGCCATGGTTTCGCACATAGACGACTTCTTCTAGCTTCTCTTTGTCCGTCTGTCATGCACAGCTGCAGCTTCGGTCAGATCGCGAGCCTCTTCTCTTGTTTCTGCCCAAAACCAAAACTGTGTGCAGCTCCTTCTTCCTCCTTGCAAATTCGGTGAGCTTCTAGATACCCCTATCAGCTGCTGTCGCCTGCGAACCTTCTAGTTCTAAGTCGCACGCAAGATCGATTCTTCTTCTTTGAAAAATTACCACTCATTGCGCAGATTTGAGCTGATCCACTACCCACGGTGGCTGCCGCCTCTGTTTCCTCTGTCTGATCTTATCTGTAAATCTATACACACTCTCTCTCTCTAATCCAACTCAAGCCGAGCTACGATATCACTTGTTGAGAAAAATTAATCCATAAAACATGCACAATCATACCAAAGTAAAAGCATAAAGAAAAGAACACAAGTATTTTATGTGGTTCGGCAGTGTGCCTACATCCACGGACAAGACTAGCAAGAAAGAATTTTACTACGTAATCTGAGAGTACATCACCAACAGATTAGCAAATCTATTTATAGAGAAACTAATAGAGTTTTTCACAAATAAAATTTTTATAGGATATACATCAAATATTTTTCAGAATAAATACGAAAAAAATTCAAATAAATTATTCTCAAAATATAAATAGATATCGCCAAAATTCAAGACACATCAACAAAAATATTTAAAATTTTTTCAGCAATCGGAAAGTCAATAATATAATCTTGGCGGAAAAAGACATCTGATACGAATTATTAAGTCGTAGCTTTGTTTTTTATTGACTCAGAATTACAAATAGACATAACATGCATTTCACATGAAAATCGTACGAAAAATCTCTAAATATTTTTTAAAAAATGTATAAAAATTTATTAATTAAAGATTTAATGCGCTCAAGTTAAAATTTATTAGGTGTTAGCATATTTAACTTGTTAAATTTCACGTACGTATAAAATTTTGCTCTTATAAACTTTTTAATGAATCTTCAAATACATATTTTTATTTATGAAATTTGTCAATTAAAGCGCCTAATAAAGTTTATATCATTTTATTGTTAATTTTCTTCATTGGGTAGATTCTTGTCAAAGATTCTGTTAGTCTACATACAAGTTCAACATCCCAACGAAAAAAATGGTATGATTATTGAATTAGTCTTTATATTAAAATTTGTCCATCCATACTAATCTCTATTTATTAGATTAATATTTACACTGTTAGTGGATTTGATACAACACGTTGGACGCATGACTTCTTAATTGAGTAAATTTTTATATAAAATGTTATATTATATCTAATGTATAAATATTATTTTTATTTAATATAAAAGATGAAATATTAAAATTAAGAAAAAATAATTTCTTTCAACTATTATTGAGAGGAGGAAGAATTTTTTTTTAAAAAAAAAAAATTTCATCGAAATAATTAAAAATTAATTATTTACACGATTGATTGATAAATAGTACGTATCATTTATGACGAAAATTTATTCAACTGTAAATGATCACATGTCCAACTTAATTAATAATACATAAACTAAAAAAATATTTTTTTTGAAATTAATACACATTTTTTTAAAAAAATATTAGAATCAAAAGAATAAAAAATTAGTACATTAATTAATTAAACATATATGATTAATACTTGCACTAAGTTAATAGTTAGTCCGCTAAAAATTACAAGAGAACGTACAAAAAAATGCAGTATATATATATATATATATATATATATTCATTTGGACCTACCTTTTTGACTTTATGTACGCATGAAAAACACATGCCTGCCATCAACAGTGGAATATTTTTTTCACTCATTAGACAGAGAAATAAATAATAATAATTACAGAAAATTAAGAAATCAGATCGTGTCATAAATAAATATATATATATATATATGTACGTATAAGGGCATTTGTTGAGTTAAGATCGATATATACACAACAAAGCGTTTACTAAAACTTGCAGTATTCATAATAAGATCTATATCAGGGTGTATAAATTTCTATTGTATGGCTATTCACAGCTTAATTCAAGGATTAATCCCTTCAAGCTTCTTCTTCATGAATAGCAGACCAGAAAATTGTAATCTCATCAAAAATGGTGTCTGTGTTGATCCTTTTAGGGTTCGGTGCAAGCTTGCAGCTGGTGGAAGTGAAATTCCGATGCATCAACAATCCATTCCAAGGAGGTCAGCAAATTATGAACCTCCTCTTTGGAGCTATGATTATATTCAATCTCTGACAAATGATTATCTGGTACGTACGTTTCCTTCTTACCTTGCTTAATTACTAGTGTGCATCTTCTTTATTAATAAAATGATCTGACTTTGCCAAAAAAAAAAAAGATGATATTTATGATCGTTTGATTAGCCTACTTCAAATTTACAAATTGATTAAGCCTTTCTTTTAGTACAGGAAGAATCTTATGGTATACAGTTAAGGAAGCTAAAGGCACAAGTGAGCACGATGCTTGAACTTTTGGAGGATCCATTGGATAGCATTGAGTTAATTGATATTCTTGAGAGGTTGGGATTATCTTATCACTTTACAAATGATATAGACAAAATCTTGAAGTGCATAAGTGAGAAAAACAAAACAAATAATGATTCGTGGAAGAAAAATAATTTATATGCAACAGCACTTGAATTCAGACTTCTAAGACAACATGGCTACCACATACCTCAAGGTACTTAAACATGACCATATTGGCACTTCTTTTTTGAGTTAAATAATGGAGAAATTGATACATAAAGTTGCTTAAGTCAACATGTACAAATTCGTAAAACAAATCTTCATTTGTATCTTGTAGAGATTTTTAATATTTTTATGGACGAGAAAAGGAGCTTTAAGGCACACCTCAACGAAGATATAAAGGGAATTTTGAGCTTGTATGAAGCTTCATATCTTTTGGTAGAAGGTGAAATAATTCTAGAAGAAGCTAGAAGTTTTACCACAAAACATCTTAAGGAATATATAAAGCAAAATAAAAATGATCTTTCAGTGTTTGTGAGCCATGCCTTAGAGCTTCCCTTACACTGGAGAGTTCCAAGAGTGGAGGCCAGATGGTTCATTGAGTACTACGAAAGGAAACAAGACATGAGTCCTATCTTGCTTAAGTTTGCAAAGCTAGATTTCAACATAGTGCAGGCCATTTACAAAAAGGATCTAAAACAAGAGTCAAGGTAAGTAAGAGGAAGCAAATATTTTGTTCATCTATTTTATGACTAAGAAGACCTAATCAATTCTAAAAATAATTAAATTTAGACAATATATAATAGTCTTATAGGCAATGAGAAATTCATAAACGCAATTTGAATATTTAATTTCTTGACTCAAATATCACCAATATTATAGGTAGAGATAAATAATAAATTGATTCATCTTTTATTAAGTTTTTATTATAACAAATTTTCAGTTAGTTACCTAAATTTCAACTTATGGTTGTTATTGTCTTATTTTTGCTAATTAACTTCCAATACAAGATGTATTACATTTGTACTTGAGAAACTTTTGGTTTAACAAGTTTATGCATAAGAGTATTATGTAAAAACTCAATTACAACTAGAATTAGTCAATCAAATTGCTTAGTAGAAACTTAAAAGATTTTATATATTTCTTTTACTCTTTAGTGTTAATGTTCTATATTTTTTAGGCAATGGGATTAAGTTAGTGAATTCTAAACTTTGAAAGCTTTAATAAATTGAGTTGATTGTTTTCATGCTTCCATGATACCTACATCACTTTATTGGATTAGTATCATTTTATTCTTGGAACGAATTGGTTGTGTTCAAACTTGCATGTTACTTAAGCAACTTTTTTGGATTAGTGTAAAATATGATGTGCTTAAAACATTATGATGAAAAATCTTAATCATTTGCTATAATTTTCTCAAACTAATAGCAATTTTCTTATTTTGCAAAATAAGATGGTGGAAGAATATTGGCTTCGAGGACAAGCTAGTCTTCTCGAGGAGTAGGTTAGTGGAGAGCTTTTTATGGAGTATCGGTATTACATTTAAGACTCAACTTGGATATTACAGACAAATGGTAACAAAAGTGATTTCTCTCGTGACTACTATTGACGATATTTATGATGTATATGGTACTTTAAATGAACTGGAGCTCTTTACAGATACCGTTAAAAGGTTAGTAATGCACACTTTTCTAAATTAATTGTAGTTGTCTTATAAGATGATCAATGTTTACTAGATTTATATTATAAATATTAAAATTACAGGTGGGACATTCATACAATTGACCAACTTCCAGAGTACATGCAAATATGTTTTCTTGGCCTCTATAACTCTATAAACGAAATTTCATTTGGCATTCTCAAGGAATATGGGACTAATGTCATTCCTCACCTAAGAGAAGCGGTAAGTATCTAATTCAATTTCATTAATGAAATAATTTTTTCATAGAAATATATATATTTCATTAATTAAATAATCATCCATACACTAATACTACACAGTAAATAATAACACAATTTTTTAAATACCAATTTTTTTTAATA